CGGGCAGCGAACTGCGGGCTGTGCTGATGATGATGGCGTTGATTATGGCTTATTTTCAAATCTCTTTTCATACCTCCTTTCTACTTCTTGGAAGTGGCCAAAGCAAATTATGTGGAGTCATCAATGGCAGCAGCAGCCACAAGATCTGCGAAAAGCATCGGAATCGGAATGGGAGCAGAAAGACGGCACAGCTGAAGGCACCACACACAGCATCCACTATCCAAACAAACATCTCAAACACCAAACAGCTAAAATCAGGCAACAACCTGGCCATAGATAACAGTGGGTGTGGATCCACAGCAATGAACTGCAAGAGTACAGCAATTTGTGAGATTTCACAGATTGTGTCTTAAAGATTTTAGATGGTAGGGGTCATCGAGTTAATGTCGAACATTTTGTCTTAACAACACACAACAAAAGTGGCATCTATAAAAATTGATTTTATTTTGCTTAATTATACATGGTATACATACTATTTGTAAATATGTTTACAAAGATATACGCTTCTGCAATCATTATCCTTTTACATGTCTACCAATTACTAGCTATTAAACATATTTAAGAATTGGAACTTTTATCATGATAGAGTCTGATGGATTGCATTTTTTTATTACAAAGTTTGCTTGTGTATGAGCAAGTTTTCTGGGTCGTTTAGAATCAGAATATAATTTTAAGAATGCCATTATTTAAGTCTTACGATTAAGTAACCCAAAAAAGTATTTTCTTATAATTTCACTTCTTTAAGGAAACTACAAAAAATCATGAGGCAGACAACTTTCAAATTAATGTTATCCTTTTGCAGAACTGATCATACTAATAAAAATGAAAAAAATAGGAACAGATCTACTGATCTACTGAAGTTTTGCGAAATTCAAATAACTTACGAGGAAGTAAATGGAATATTTGCTGGTTCATTGAACAATGGATGAGCCATTATAAACTTCGCTTATCAACAAAATGATCGTGCCGATCTATAGAATAAGCCAACAAAAATTTACTACCAGCAGGCATAATAGCCTCATGTCATGCCCATTATGGAAGGCATCCGCCCAATCCTCGACAATCATCATCATCTGCTGCTGCTGATGCTGCTGCTGCTATCGATCTATCGCTCCAACGCAGATGATCGCAGATCTGACTCACAGATCTAAGCGTAAAATCGAGTGCAATAAAATAGCTAGCCGAGAGCACAGCAAGTGCCCAACTGTTTTGAATCAACAAAATTGGCTGGCAACAAAGACGCGACACGCTCGCCAAGCGGAACCCAACCCGAACTGGAGATCTATAGAGTGAGAAACTCTTGGACGCGAGCTGCAAATGATCGCTGCGATGATCGGCGAATGCAGCGCAGTTGGATAGGGAACGAAGCAGAGCAGAGCAGGCAGCAGCAGCAGCAGCAGGACGAGATTCAGTTTGAGGTTCGGTTTCAAGCGGAACTAGCTGCATTTTTGCACGGCGCATTAACAGGCAGGCAACAACGTCAGCAACTAGAATCAAGCATAACAACAAACATTATGGCCCAAAGCGGAGGACTGAGGCAACAGGATCTCGAAGTGTTGCAAATTTTTATTTGGAAGCAATTTTCACACCCTGTGCGACATCAGGCAACATCACAAAGAGGACGACGGGCAGCCCATGCACATAAAAACTATGTCCCTGCAGGACATGCTGCTGACAGGACACACAGCGTGGCGAATGCAACTGTTGACAACTTCATGGAGCGAATACGGACAGTTAGTTGACTTGAGTTGAGCTATTTGCTGCTGCAATGTAAGTTGCAAATGACGCCAAATGATTGTAGACCATATAAATTTCGATTGTAGCTGATTAGCAAGCTGGCCAGGTAAACGTGCAATGTGCTACGTGCAACATGGCCCGATACACGCCTACCCCCTAGGGGAGTGAGAAAAAGGGAGGCCCCGTTGCCAGCGTCAGCGTTTTAGTTGCGCTTACACAGCGATTATTTGCAATTATGAGTTGAGATTTAACAGCTCAAAAGCGACGCCTCTCGTTCTGTTGCTAGCAACACCTCCTGGAATATTGCCATACTCGAATTACAGCAAAATTTCCCAATCACTTTGACAGTTTGACTTGGTGACTTGTTCAACAATCACCTGCAATCTGGCCAAGACTTGACCTTGACCAAAAACAAAAAAAAAAATAAAAATAAAAACCTGCTCAAGGACAATGCTGCCGTTCAGTTTGACCTTCAGGGCCGTGTGAGCCTCGGGGGGTTTGTGGGCGCTCTATGTGGTTGTGCTTGTTGTGGCGTTGCTTTGGTTTCTCTCACCGCTTGCTGCTGTTGCTGCTGCTGCTGACGACCTTAGAAATTTGATGGATTGGTTCCCATTCCCAACTCAACCCGAATCGAAGGTCATCAGCTGAAATCGCATTCGCTACGTCTCGTTGCGTGGCTGCGTCTGCGGCTAACCATATCGCATGGTAATACCAAAATTTATATAGCCTTCATTATGGTCAAATTAAAACTGCTCATCGGCCATTACTCACCAACACCAAATTGCGCGCCTTTATGAGCGCAATATCGAGTCGTCGAACAGAAAGAGAACGAGTGAGAGAGGTTAGCATATAGCATATAGCATATAGCATACAGCGTATATCGGACTACCTACAGCGGTTTTTATGATTTGTTTACATGGCTGCCCCGTGAACAGCAGCTTGAGCAGTCTGTCAGTGTTGCTTTGAGCCAGAACCAGAGCCAGAGACTGTGTTCTCATCATTTGGATTTTCCGCAGCAATAAAATTAATAAGAAAGCGCTAATTTTGTAGCTCCGGCCACGACCACGTCCCCTTTCCCGTTGCCGTTTCCTAAGCAAATATGTGAGTAGTTTGAACTCACTCGTCTAACTCTTTCGCGAGCCCATCTACCATATACAAAATTGTGCCAATATTTGCACAGGCTTGTTGCTTCAATTGCAACGCCATTTTGTGTGTGCCTTCCAGGCTCGCTTTAATGACATTTCCCATCGTCCGAATAGCAACAACAGCAGCGGCAGCCGCAGCAGCAGCAGCCGCCTTAAGCCCGCAAATAATGGCCCATTAATAGCTTGACATAATCTTTAAAAATACATTTAATTCATTGAAAATGCAACGGCAACAAAACACATCGCATTGCAAATGCTAGAATGCAATGGCAATAGAGGAAATGTGTGAGCTGAAGGGGATCTTCACTCCAGCCATCCAGCTGCTGTAGGTGCAAGCGGGCGCGAGCATGCCCAAACTGCAGTCTTGACTGTCCAATTAGTTGGCGCAGCCAAGGCAGAAACACGCCAAGAGCAAGAAGAAGGTGAGCAACGTTTGCTTCTGCTTTTGCTTGTGTGTATGTGTGCGACAGAGAGAGGAAGAGAGAGACAGGGAAAGAGAGAGAGAGAGAGAGTGTGAGTGAGTGTGTGAGCAAAGAGCGTGAGTGAATGTTTGTTCTACCTGGTACATAAGCAGCGAGCACTCCGAAAATAAATTTACTCCGAATAGCAAAGTGAGTGGAAAATTTAATGGGGAGATGAGCTAATTCAAAGCAATAATTACAAATTGGAATTGAACATTAAAAATACATTTTTGTGTGCATTATAATTGAATTTATTATTGAACAATTTTAAGATAAAAGTGATAAAAATAGTTTTAAATTATAAGATGTTTAAAACATTACATATTCTGTTTATATTTTTTTTGGAATGTTCTGTGTTTCAAAATCTGGGATAAATGACTGAGAAAAATACAAAATTTGTATGCAAAGCAGTGAAAAGAATATAATAAATTTTATAATTTATATGTACATAAATGCTTTTCTGATCACAAAATTTGATAACTTATAAAAATATATGGAAATTAATTTTACATAAGTTTTTGTGTACTTATAATTTTGATTACGTGTTAAATAAATAAATACATATATGGAAAACTATATTAAACCTTTAATTATTAGTTGTAATCTGTTGCACAATATCACTAATAATGTATTATTAGAAAGCATTCCGCCTACCGATATGGTCTATTAAGTGTCGACTAAAGCTGTCGATCCGCTAATTTACTGTTATTGAAATTTGTGTGAATTGTGGAATATATGTGCAATTAAATGCAGTTAGTGCACCCATAAATTGCAAACTAAACTAAAATAAATTCCATCAATCTGACAAAATGATCGTCTGACAGTGATACAGAAAAATGCACTCGCTATCATTTTCAATATTTCCGCCATTTCCTATTGGGCACAGGCGGTCTATATACCACACGTACACAATACTAATGCAGCTACCCATACTCGCACACGGCAGCTGCTCCAAGCATTCGTGTTTCATTTCATTCGGTTATAAGTTATAAGACTAGCTGCACTCTTCTCACGCACGCAGTGGCCGTGTAGACGACGAGAAGCAGCAAATTGCTCCTCCTCCACGATCGTTGAACGCCCGACGGGTAGCACAGAAACCACGGCCACAGCAACAGCAGCACTAGTTGGAAATAAATGCATGAAATATTCAGTGAATTTGTCATATAATCTTACAACACAATGATAGTTTCGTTTTAGAAGTTAATTTATTCTAATGTTTGAATTTATTTTGTGTTAATACAGTTTTAGTGATAGGACCTTACATATAGTCAACTTTTAACAATATGTATTTCGGGCCATTGACAAATTTCTGGTAAGCATATTTAATTTAAATTTCATTCTTCACTATAACAAATCACAAATTGAAATTTAAGTATCTTGTATATCTCTCTGTATTTAAATCTAAAAAGTAATATATCTCAGGCATGTTGAATGCTATTATTTCCTGCTGGGCTTCAAACCATTGAGCATTGAGCACTTCGTGTGCAAGAACTCGGCATTTCGTGTGACGACGACGACGACAACAACATCGACGACGACGACGACGACGACGTCGACTGCGAGACTGTCATGTCGAGACTCGAGCCTATTATTTGGGGTCTCTGGTTGGTTGTCTTCGATCTGTTTGTTGGCTGTGACTCTCGTCCGTCAGTCGCTCATTCGCCTCTCGTATTCGCTGTCGTCAACACACACGCGCACGCAACAACGGGCAACGGGCAGCACCGAACAGGTTTAAATCTATTTGTCGAGTCTCTGGTCGAGTCGAGTTGAGCTGAGTCTTGATCGGTCCAGGTAAAAGAACGCGCCGTGTGTTTCAGTTAAGCGTTGGCACTGAACCGGGTAACAATCTTTCACTCCTCCGCTCCGGAGCACCAATTCTTCGTACAACAGAATACTTACGTCGCGTTTAACAACTCTCCTACTTTTACTATGTAGAGCAAATGGAAAGTGTTTCGAGCTTACGATCTGTTCATTCATAAAACTGCTGCAAGTTTTTTACAAGTGAAATAAGCACAAACAAATAAGTGGCTGTATATATGAAAAATATATATTCAAATCCGAACAGTGTGATCCAACTGAAAAGAAAACAAATCGATATATGAATCCACATCAATACGATGCACAAAAAATCCAAATCAGTATCAGTGCGTATGCTAATGAGGATTATGCCTCATTTATAGTGCGCTAATTGAACGTGAAATTGCCATATAAAATTATATTTAGCCAGGCCTATATATGACATAGCAAATAAGGCCCAGCCATTGACAAGCGAATCAAATATCAATAAGCAAATAAAAACTGACTAACTGGTCAGCTATATACCATCCACATATACCAACAATAATATTTGTGTAATAAAAGCGAAAAACTTTGCCATGGATTTAAGTTATATGTTTATCGTCTGCCTGCTGGCGCTATGCAGCGCCGACGCCGAAAGTAAACAGAAATCGGGCAGGGGCCGAGGCTCCATGTGGTGGTAAGTAAAGCATGAGAAACCAATAGAAGAATCGGGGGGGATGCGAAACATGTGCATGACATTGAAAAGGCCACTGAGCAGCTGATATGCGCCCACGCAGCATTTGCATAAACCAACAAATTCGTATGAGGACAAACAGTTAAAGCAATTAGCGAGCGAGCGAGAAGAACAAGCGCAAACAGGCGACGGCGGCAACGGTGTCTTGCGAGAGCCAAAGCCAAATGTCAGCAACATCAACAAACTTTTGAGGCACGCGCCAGCAACGGCAGCAGAAGCAGCATCCGTTAAGAAAGCCACGAAAATTATCGCAAGACTTGAAGATAATTTTCCCAAGCTAAAGTCAAAAGATGCTCAAAGGTCTTGACCATTTAAAAGTCAAGTCTTGTGGCTGCTTCTGCTTGTTGTCGTTGTTGTTGTTGATGCTTCACACACAATGCGGAAGCCACAAAATGCAGCAACATTAACTCTTTTTTTTGTCTGACGAATGCAATTAAAAATTCTAAGCGCGCATTCAACTTTTACCTCTGGGGGAAACAGGGGAGCTCCAAGAGATGCGTCTTGATATGCCTAGTGAGAAAGAGAGAGTGTGTGTGTGTGTGTGTGACACAGTTAATGTGACCAAGAAATGATCAACGTTTGCTAAGAATTCGTTTTGATGTACTACCATATCAAGTTTGTTGCCTAAGTCTTTCGATTCGATAAGCGCACAAAAAGTTCGCTTGAGTTCAATTCAAGTTCAAAGCTCACAAATGCTTACCGTAATAACTTTTTATAGCGACATGAATTTCGCTATAAAGTACAAATACAAATAAATTAGAGATTCAGGAAAACAGAAATTTGCTGCTTATTTTATTTTATTTTTTTTTTGCGGCGGCGGCGGCCGCATAAATCTTGTTGCCATTCATTTTAATCCGCCTGGGAATCGCCGAATTCGAAATCGCATCGATTGCGCTTCGCCGTCGCGAGATTGTTGTTTTTGTTTTTATATGGAGGGTTTTTGTTACACTTTCGTTTGCTTGTATCCATTACACAATTGTTCGCGTATGCATGAATGTATATACTAAATAAAAACAATGAGTGCGAAAATATTAACTTTCCCACCGCAATCAACGGCGAATTGAATTGGCAATTAATTTGCATATGTGCCGCTGTCAATAAACATTTGTTGAAATTTATTTATTATTGTTAAACAGAAAAAATGTAAATAACAATAAAAAGACAGTATTTGTAACGAGAGCAACACAACTGTTGAAAGAAAATATACTAAAGTGTATTCGGTTTCAATAATAAATAGAAACATTTATGTAGGCAAGGCCGTTGGAAAAAGATGACAGCAAATGGAAGCGAGTGCCGACAAGTGTCATCAAATATTTGTCAGTGTATGGGGTTGCATGTGTGTGTTTGTTTGTGTGTATGTGTGCTGCATGCATGAGTAACGCCGGCAATTGACGTGGCTCAACAAAAAGGAAAAGCCGCAAGTGAAAAACCAAGAACAACAAAAACACACACAACTCAACTCAAGTCAAGTGGAAATAAACATAATGCCAAAAAAAAAAAAAACAAATTACAAAAACAAATACGTACACAAATATAAATGAAAATGTTGATCCGTCTTTGTGGCCTTTTCGGTTGCTGTGCGTGTCCAGCTGCTCGAGATTTTCCCCTGCCCCTGAATACACCACTTGTAATTAGGCGCAAAAACCAAGCCAAGCATTAAATAGTCTTGACACGCCCCCCTACCCCCTCCCCCATCATTCACCTACATTATTTTTATCGCTGCGTGTGAGGTTTATTTAATTGTGTCATTTACTTTGCTCAATTATAGGGGCATTGCCAAGGTCGGCGAACCCAATAACATATCACCCATCAGCACTGGCATTATGTACATGGATCCTGCCATTCACTCAACTCTGCGTCGCAAGCAGCGGCGTCTCGTCCGAGATAATCCTGGCGTGCTTGGAGCTCTGGTCAAGGGCGCTAATATGGCCATCAGTGAGTGCCAGCATCAATTTCGCAATCGTCGCTGGAATTGCTCAACGCGAAATTTTCTGCGTGGCAAGAATCTATTTGGCAAAATCGTAGATCGGGGTGAGTACTTGTACAAGTATATTCCGGGGGAAGAACTTCAATTTAAGGCCGAGCTTAAAATTTAATGATTATAAAATTGATTTTATTCAGGTAAATAGATATCAGTTAAATCAGCAAAGTGAAACAATTTTCTAGGGGTTAGCAGCAAATAAATAATAATTATAATCTAAAGGATTTACTGATTCTTTAGTTCATTAAGACATATAAATTATCATAGCCAAGAACAATATTCAAGCTGCCATTCTTACTTTATATTTTTCGACATCACCGATAGCTGTGTGAACTATCCATAATCTAAGAGTAGCATTATTTTAATATATTTACTGGCTCAAGTTGTGCCACAATGGGGTTACCCGAGTGAAACATGATCTGTGATCTGTTTGCCATTGCATTTGTATTGGTTGTCAACGCCTCTTTTTGGCTGCTAGTGGCAAATACACAAGTTGCTTTGATTTCAGTTTTAGGTACTCTCTGAAATCTTGTTGTTGTTCTTATTTTGTTGTGAAATGTCACTTTGAGTGTTTGAGTGAGTTTGTGAGCAGTGTGTATGTGTGTGGGATGCCAGTTTGTTATTGTTGTTGTAGTTGCAGTAATATGATCGGGCACTTGCCACAACTCGAATGCACTTCATTGAAAAGTTTGCCATATGTTGAGCCACTTTCGCTGGCCGCTGCTGTAACAATGGAATTGCTTTGTTTCCGACTGTCTGCGTCTGCTGCACTTGCTCCACTTTGCATTTCAGCATGTTTATGCTAATTGACGCAGGTTGGCAGCACCAAAACTTCAGATCAGTCTCGAGCCTCGGGCTGCATTCAAATCAATCAAATGCTCTTGTTTGTTCGCCTGCTGTGACAGTTGCCGTGGAGTTCCAGATCCAGTCTCCCAGGCGACCTGATCTGCGTCCATGGGCAACAACACTTTTTGTGACAGACCCGTCCACATCGCAATCCCGTGTGGGCTTCCCTGTTGTCTGTTGTCAACAATCATTTTCATATAAATGTAAACAGCAGCAGAAGTCATGCAGCTTCTTATGAATTGCATTTGGCAAAAACTCTCCTGCAGTTTTATTAGCTACCGTCCTGAGCTACCTGGAAATCGCTATCGTATATATATATAAATATTTGTATGTATATATTCCCATAGAGCTACTTTCCATTCCAAATGTGGGCGTGTGCAGCGTCGCGTGCGTTTCTGTTGCAAGACCTTTCGTATCTTTCACTCCACTGACAGCTGACTTTTATAGCCGGCTCTTGACCTTATCAACAGACGACTAACATCCTTTTTATGAGTTGCACTCTCTTGACATTTTATGGATTTTGTCGATTGTCGAGTTGTTGCACTGTTATATTGCTGGATTATTGGACTGGTGACAGCTTTTTATCGCAGCACTTTCATCGCTCTCCTTTTTTCCTTTTCCTTTTTTTTATATTTTTAATGTGCCCTTGGCCCTAATTAACACCTAGGCCATTAACACTTGGGGTTGCACCGTACAGTGGCTTTCCAACTGTACATATGTATGGGTGTATGTGTATGTGTTTGCACATGTGTGTTTGTCTGTGTGCGTGTGTTAATACCCTGGAGACAACTGGCAAACACCCTGTCAAGTCCAGACAGCGGGGCACTTTGTTTTGTTTCGCAGTTTCTGAAGCAGCCTGCAAATGAAGTCAACTGAGGGCATTTGCGGGCAGCGGAGCCAAATCAAATCAACTCAACTAACTTGTTTTCTAATTGGTGACACCTTGTCAATTTGACACGCCACACGCTTTAACAGGCTGACTCGATTATTGTAGTTGCCTAGGGTATTAGTTGCTCTTGAGCTGTTTGCATTCTGTTACCTTCCATTTTTTTGCGCACATTTTAATCATGAAGGATGACGAATGGCAGCCACCCCAAGATGCTGTCAGTGGCTGCCTGTGGCTTTTATATCAATGTCTAAACTATTCCAGGAACACACTGCAGCCTCTAAGAGGGCAGCCTTTGCTAAGCTGCTTAGCTTAGCTGAACTGCTGAACTCTTGAACTACCTGAAGCAGAATCGGGACAGAAGCAGAATCAGGAGCTGTCGCATTTACTGCTCTCAATTTCATCAGTCGCTTGCCACGCCCAGCAGCAACGGAAATCCGTTCAGCAATTAACTACCAAAAAAAGAAAAAAAAAACAAGTCCAAAGGAGTAACGAGCATTAGAGCAGGAAGGGGAGATAGGGTGTAAGAGAGGCAGAGAGGGGTACAGCTCACTCAGCTACTCAGATTACATGCGTTAACATTTTGTGGGCGTTGTCCCCACTCACACACACACACACACATAGATGAGTGCATTTGTTTGCCTTGGTTAAATTAAAGAGTACCTGCGACACACCCATTATTCAATGTGAATAAGTCGAATGGGCTCATGAGCCACTCATTTCTTTCACCGCTTAATTGCTCAATGTTCGCCGTTTTATTGTCTTTTGTTGTTGGCGTTGTTTCTGCGAAACATTTGCCAAGCTATTTATTTACACGGCGTACAAAAAAAAAAACAAGAAGAAGCACAAGAAATACCCACAAAAGAGGGAACACCACACACACACACACATATATATATATATAAATATATATATATATATACAGATACAATACGCCACTTGCCATGCAATGTAACGCGAATTCTTGTTAAGCTAATCACCAAAAGTCAGAGTCAAGTTGTTGTTGCTATTGCTGTTGTTGTTGCTTTTGTTGCTGTTGATGATGACGACGTTTGCGCATGCGCCGAACAGCGACAGACCTCCGACCGCCTTGTCTTATCACAGATTAAACATCGCACATATTTACCTTTTACGTGAAATTATTTAAAGAAAACAAAACCACAAAAAAAATGAAAATGAAACCAAGCAACACAAACACACACACACTCACACATACACTAGAAACAAACAAACATTAACCGGGAATTGAACAAAATAAAATAAAAATTTGTGCCACAATTCCAGGAAATCGAGAATTCAAACGCGGCAATTCTAAGCGGAAGTTGAGAGCTCATAGCTCATAGCTGACATTATCAATCGTCACCTGCTCGACAGTCAATCACAGCTGCATCAATCGTCAGTCAAGCCAAGACACCAAGTCAATGTCCATGAGAATTGAAACAAGCTCAACACAAAGTTGATTTTTATAGAACTAATTTGATATAACGAAAAGCAAAACTATGCCACACACATTTACATTTGAAAATTTAACAATATTTAAATTTTTATTGGAAAATCAACTAAAATTATTTATAAACAATAAACCTTTTGCCTTTTGCCCACTATAACAAATATCTCGCTTTGATAGGCATGTAAACTTGAAGTCCATTTTCAGCTCAGTGTTTATTTATTTTATTTATTAGTATTGTTAACAAACAACACAACAGTAACAAACTTATTAATATTAGTAACAAACTCATGCAGTTATAGTAAAGAAATTCTTTTGTAAATACCAAATAGTTGTAGACGCATTGGTTTCCGACTCCTTACACATATAATAGATGAGTAGTACACAGCTACCTGACTGCGCTCATGTGTCATCCAGTGTATGTACGATACATAAATTTATGTATCTGTGGCTCTTGAGTTGGAGCGCTGGCACTTGAAAAATTATCTGCAACATGTAAATTCAATTTTCATTGTTCTTTATCTGTGATGGTCTCTCCACAACGCAGGCGAAACAGAGGCAGTTACTAAAAATAAAAATAACTATAAGAAAAAAATTAAAAAATGAAAAATATGAAAATGAGGTAAAGTAAAGTTTTCTACAAGGGCCACTCGTCTGGACTGGACTGCTTGTTTTGGTTTCGTTTCGTTGCTGGAGATTGTGGTAGATGGTGCAAAGTGTTAAGTTGGAATTTATAGTGGAGCGTTTAATCTGTGTCAGTTTTCTGCGTCAGTTTGCAGTACTTCGCGGCACTTCGGTGCGGTGATAACTTGAAGTGTCATAATTGACCAGACTTTGGAAGACAAGTGCCATTATTCATAGGAAGGAATTTAACTGTTGCCCACGTAGCAATCACTTGAGCAGAGATTGAGATCTCTTGTCTTGTCTTGGGGGGTCGTGCCCCAAGTGGAACACCCAGAAGGCAGACACACAAAGCACAAAACCTTTACAAAAACTGAAACAGAAACAGTTGCTCATATTTTATGTCTCTTTCCCTCTCATAATCCTTGCAGGCTGCCGTGAGACGGGGTTCATTTATGCAATTACCAGTGCGGCTGTTACCCATTCGATAGCGCGAGCCTGCAGCGAAGGCACCATCGAATCCTGCACCTGCGACTACAGCCACCAGACGCGCTCTCCGCAGGCCAACCATCAGGCGGGCAGTGTGGCCGGCGTCCGGGATTGGGAATGGGGCGGCTGCTCCGACAACATCGGATTCGGCTTCAAGTTCTCGCGCGAATTCGTGGACACCGGCGAGCGTGGACGCAATCTACGCGAGAAAATGAATCTGCACAACAACGAGGCGGGTCGAGCGGTAAGTAAACCAATCAAATTGCATCCATCCATTCATCTAGCCGATCCACCATCATATGTCTGGCTAATGCCTGTCGCCTAGCATCGTTTTGGTTGGCTAACAATTTACGACTTGCCTAATAAAAATCGACAATTTCTTTAAGCCGTTTTCCGCCCCAATTGGCGACTCGACAACTTGCTGCACTCTGTGTCCAGTGACAACAGTACGTTGAAAGGGGTGGGGAGCGCTCATATGCAGCAGGAGGGGAATTGGCAGCCAGACTCTACTGGCACTGTCTCTCTCCCATGCACTCGTTTGCGCGCATGTAGCTCGTATATTAAAATCGTTGACAGCTTCCAGCTCCGGAGGAGAGCTACACAAAAAAAAAAGAGTAGTGTGCAGCTGCTGAATCAGTTGCACAGTGGATGAAATTACTCATCCAATGATCATTTATCAATCAAATGCCTTTGATATTTCATTTCATTGAATAACTTTTCCAATCTTCAATATCATACAACGTCGATATCGATAAGTTTAGTTTTCATTGCAAAAATTTAATTGAATAATTAAACATCAATGGCCTGCAACGAAAGGTGACTTGAATTAGCTTAAAGCAAAATTAATCGATCCACGACAGGCAATTAATTGAAACTTGTCAAATTTGCTTATCGATTACCATATCGTTAGCTTATATGTGAAAATTTGGTGGCCTCGCAGCACTCCCAGCATAAATCGACAGTTAATGACCACTGTGCGAGGAGGCAGCTCCTCCAGTGCCCCCAGTTGTTAGTTAATCGTGGGGGCATAGAAAGTAGCACACCCAGTGTATCAGCTCCAGCTCCAGGTCCAGAGCTACCCAAAGCTAGTCACTGCTTCGCTTTGCTCCTGCGCTGGAGCGCCAGTTCTTTGGGGCCACCATCTGTGTTATTATTTTATTACTTGTTATGGGATCCATCGATGACGATGATGATGATGATGATCATGTGCCTTGTGTTGCTGTGCTGCCTTGCTGGCTGCCAGGGCCCCCCAACTGCGTTGATTTCTTACTTTTGGTCAGGCCAATTACAACAACAGCAGCAATAACATGCAACATGCGCACAGCAAGTTGCAACAACATTTATTGATTTTTAATAACTGCAACAACGTGGCAGGCGGGCCGCCAATCGAAGCGAGCAAAAAACGGCAAAATAATTAAGTGAAAAAGATATTGGAAAAGCAGCAACAGCAGCAGCAACATCAGCAGCAGCAGCCTAATAAAGTCATACTAATGAATCCCCCCTCTCACATCTCATTGCAGCACGTTCAGGCGGAGATGCGTCAGGAGTGCAAATGCCACGGCATGTCAGGCTCGTGTACGGTGAAAACCTGCTGGATGCGTCTGGCCAATTTCCGTGTTATAGGCGACAATCTGAAGGCGCGCTTCGATGGCGCCACACGCGTCCAGGTCAGCAATAGTCTGCGGCAGAGCAGTAATGCGGTCGCCGTAATCAGCCCCAATGCCGCTGGTTCAAATGGCGTTGTGGGTGGCGTCTCCAACGGCGGCAATGGCCTTCCACCCTCCGTTAACGGTTATGATGATGAGGAGCGGATGCTCAACGATCACATACCCGAGCTGCTACTTGACAACAACCATCCGAACAGCAAACAGCATCATCCCAATATGCCATCGCCCAACAGTCTGCCAGTGGCAGGTGCTCGATCTCGAGGACATGGACGCGGTCGCCAGGGACGCAAACACAATAGGTAATTGTTATTTTTAGAATATATTATTGTTAAAGTTGACCTGTTAAGGTCTTGCTATTGAGACGATGCCAACTTATACCTATAATCAATGTGATATCAATGATAGACGTCAACTAATTCCCATTTTTGCACATTCTGCTCTTCGCTTGCAGATATCATTTCCAACTAAATCCACACAATCCCGAGCATAAGCCGCCGGGTCCCAAGGACATTGTCTATTTGGAGCCATCGCCCAGTTTCTGTGAGAAGAACTTGAGGCAGGGCATCCTGGGCACACACGGACGCCAGTGCAACGACACCTCGCTGGGCGTCGATGGTTGTGACCTGATGTGCTGTGGGCGTGGCTATCGCACCCAGGAGGTTGTCGTTGTCGAGCGCTGCGCCTGCACTTTCCACTGGTGTTGTGAGGTCAAGTGCAAACTGTGTCGAACCAAGAAGATCATACACACGTGCCTGTAAGGGCCACACCCCCACCACATACCCCATACTCCCCTTAATCCAACTATAACAACCCACTAACCTATCCCAATCCCCACTCTGTGTATGTGTTATGTATTGTCTACGCTTAGCCTTTGTTATTAGAAGTTAAGAGCCTAGACTATAGCCTAGTTAAAGTCCATTCAATGTCCATGAACCCTACTAAATTTTAGTTTACATAACAACAACCCACTCTGATTTTTTAGCAGTATTATATATATAGTTATATATATATAGCGACGACACGAGTTCATAGCCACGATAAAAAAAAAAAAAGAAAAACAAGAAAAGAAAAGTGTACAACTTCGTTTTGCCCAGTTTTTAGTTCTATAAGCAATACGCGACCCTAGCAACAAATTTATGTAAATTACGTTGCTGTACTTGTAAGTCCCATATGAATATAAATAGTATATATATTTAGCTGTAGCCCTAGTTTAGCTAAACATTTTACAATTTTGAAAAGCGCGATTAAGCCTCCTTCACTACTCCACCACACGAAAAAGAAGAAAAACGAACGAAAAAATACGAAATCATTGAAAACAAGACTGAAATTCAATTGCGCGCAGCTGAAACTCTAAAACTCCCTCTCTCTCACTCACTCTATATGAGGATCTGTCTCTCTCTCTCTCTCTCTCTCTCTCTCTCTCTCTATCTGCCTCTCTCGCTAACAACAACAATAGCAACTACCAACACATCTTTAGCTATTATTGTTGTTGTGTAGTTAGCGGCGATGTTGACGCTGGCAGCGCTGCTTGCATTCCGCTTTGCCCAGCTGCAAAACGCATGTTAAGCATACGCCGTGTGTTTCTTCTTCTCCTACAAGCGAGGATATGGAAAAGGAACCCGGTTCCACATATGAGCCACATGAACGTGCTCAAAGCGTTGCCAGGTTCGCTATTTCATTAATCAACTTTGTGTACATAAATAAGTGTATTTAGTTTAATCAGTGTGTGTTTTAATTTTAGTTTAAGTGTAAGTACAACAAATGCACGCTAGATGGCGCCACACGAAAATTATCTTATTCTGTTATTTTTACTTTGAAATTTATGAAATTTGCACACAAGAAATGAATTTTTTTATATATACATGTTTGTATTTAGGACATATCTAATTTTTTTGGTATTTTTCCAAAAAAATTACACCGCAGCTGCCCCTCCACAATTTAATTTATCTTTTGTTGCCTTTTTTGGTTGTGCGTTCTAGGTATTACTAATAATTAATTAATTAATTAGCCCACTAATTCAAGTATTTTTAATTAATTTATATTAGCACATAGACAACATTCAATATTGTAAAGTATTAAAAAGATAAAGAAAAACAACAACAACAACAACAAGAACTACAACAAATTGCGAACGCAATACACAAATCAATAAAACATTACAAAAAGTAAAAACAAAAAAATCTTTTACGAAAAATAACAACAACAATGTGGAATTTATTTTACTGAGCAATTATTTGGTTCAAGTGTGCGGCAATTAGCCGCTGGAGGGAAGAATAAAACAGAGGGGTGGACACGGGGAGATGGGGAGCTACCGCAATGCTACTGCATTGTCGCTTGGGTCATGGCTGCTGAGCGAGGTATTTCAATATTTGATTTAAGCAGCTCGGTGGCAGTTTCCCAAGCGCATTTTTTGTGTTGCTGCCAGTCAGCCTGGTCAGCAGCAACAGCAGCAACAGCAGCAACAACAACAAGAACAACTACAGCAACAATAACAACAAGAGTAACGAGCGAGCAACGACAGTTGCATCTTTTGTATATCGTCGGCGTCTCTTCTGCTCAGCCCCTGACAATGCGAACGACAATTCCGCGCTGTCAGCGTCCAGCGCCGAACGGCTTTCAACTTTCAGCGACAATCAGAAGCAAAAGCAGCAGGCGGAGAAGGAGATGAAGTTGGGGTAGGCGAAGGAGAAGGAAAAGCAGAAGGAGGAGTACCTGCTGAAGCTCTTGTACATGCAATTGCCGAGGCAAACTATGCAAGTGACAGCGACAGATCTAGACGAAGCGAATGGAATCGGTATCGGAATCGGAATACGATCAGACCAGGCTGCCAGTTTGCCTCGTTGCCGGTTTAGTCTGATGCTGATGTGGCCCGGCTTACATTGATCCTGATTCAAGCTACTGATCTGCCAGCTTCGAGTAGTAAGAGTATGTGTGCAAAAAAAAAGTGATCGTGCTACATGTGTCCGCCTCAGTTGACAGTTTTGTTTCGCTCTTTGATACGCTACTGCAATTCACAATCATTAAATGGGTGGGAAATATAAAAAGTAAAATAACTAAAACCGAAAGCACCCGGAATGCAATTCTGTTGTGAGGAAGTCGATGCAGATTTCTGATTACTTGCAAGCTGAGAAAAATAAGTTGGTCTATTTCTGAACTGAACAGGATTTGAATAACATGAAACATAATCTCTTTGATCGAATGCATGGGAAACCAATTGTAAGGGAAACGTGACAAACAAATTCCTTTTTAATCGGCTTGATCATAACGACTTTGGAGCTAATTAATTAATATTATACCTTACAAAACATATGGATTTTCTGTCAAACAATTATCAATGTTTAAATTCCAAGACAATAAGTGGAAATTGTATTATACTTTTGCCACCGATAGTTTTATAAATTTAATTTATCACTTCTAACTATCTTTAACAATATCTTGTCAATTGTTTAGAGAGAAAATACGAACAATGAAAAGTTTGCTTCCACACATTATGTCATTTATAATTAGGAAACATTTTCAAATGGCTGCCAAATGGTTCACCAACTGATACGTATAACTAAGAGGCATCAACAAGGTGGGCAAAGGGGAACTTGACCATTATCCATTACCAATAGTAATAGCAATAGCAAAAGCATTGGCATTAATATTAAAATTGGCCGTTAAAACCCCTCGGGGCACATAGTACGCCTGCTTGGTAAGTTTGGTGGCATTGTCTGTGGATGCAGCGCGGATGTCGCAAATATGGCACAGCGAGGCGACAATTGTTGTCTCCAAAGAGTCGTCTGCGTCGCTGGCTGACATTGCTCCTAATCAATAAAACTAACGAGCGGATTAAGATTATGTTGCACTCAGTGGGCCCACAGAGGCGGCCAAAAGCGGCGCACGCGCATCCCAAAAATGGTCTGGCGGCCTAATGAATTGCAACTCGTAACTCGCAACTGGCAGCGTGCAACGTGCAACGAAATCAAAATGCAGCCAAGTCATCTCTGTTGCCGGTTGCTCGATGTGACAATGACAGTTGTTGTTCGTCATGTTTGGAGCATGTAACTCCGCTCCACTCCACTCCACTCCACTCCACTCCACTCGACTCGACTGGACTGGAGTCGCCTCTTTGTGTTGTAATTGCAGACGCCACACGTTTGCGCCGCTGTTTGATTTGGCAAATGCAACGGTTCGACATGGATATCTCCGAGCCATGGGCTGCAACTCAGCTCGCAGATCTTTTGCGATCACTTGTCATGCGACTCACGCGCGATCGCTGGCATGACAAAACTTTCAGCCCAGCACCGCTTAGTTCGCCTTCGCCTCCTCTTTACGCCCCTGCCACCAACCGCGCCCCGCTCACCAACCGATATGTACAGAGATCGCGCAAAAGGGCCGAAATATTTTCGACACATTCGGCCCCGGGGTTTGCGAGTTCGGCGTTAATTAAGTGGCAATTGTTGTGCTCGAGGCGTGAACCGTGAGAATTCAATGGATTAGACAAATAGCCAAGTGGCCTATACTAGCTTTACTACACTAAAAAAAAAGTGTTTGAAAACAAGTTTCTAAAAAAAATATAAAGTGATTTGCAAAGTATAATTAAATAACATATTTTTTGAACTGTCTGCGGAGGGAAAACTTTTCAAAAGGCTTTGAGAAAATTAAGCAAGATATTTTAAAACCATTTCTGATTTGAAATGAAATTTTTATCACAGTGTGCCACAAAAGTAGGCCTACTCAGGCGACTATTAGCTATGGCTATCAATCATCAGTGACTTTAGCTTTGGCTGTAGTTGCTGCTGCTGCTGCTGTTAACTGTTTACATCTGGCGACAAGTTGAACTACCAGGAAGCAATGACCAAGCAGAGACCACCAGGCGAGAGAGAGGCAAAGACCCTCAGAGACCGGCAGCGACGACTAGACCAGCCAGCCAGTCAGCTAGGTGGCCATCCCGATCTGGCCATGTAATTAACAGCACGCAAAAAGTGTTGGCAACACATACATGGACATTGGCACATCCAGAGGGGTGCATAGTATCCACATAGTATTCATGGACGACAGTGCGACACGCATGTAAACATTACCATTTTTGGCTAAAGACGCGACAGCTGTTGAGCAGTTGGCTATTAAAAGGGGCAGCGTTGTGGCATTGCTGTTGTTACTGCCGCAAGCTGGGTGGCCAGTGCTCATAATTGAGTTACTATCTGCTTCAGAGTCAAATCGAATCCAGTGGTCGACTTTCGTTTAGTCTCTTATGCCTAATTAGTTGTAGTTTTTGTTTAACTTTTTCTTTTTTTCGATTTTGCTTTTTTTTGAGTGTTACTTGTGGATGAGCAAAAAGGTTTCCCATCATTTGGCTTCCATTATGCAGCGTTCGCGGCCACCGAATTCCAAAGGTGATCGCGATGGGCGTCAGGTTTGCTCATGTCGAGAGGGGATTGGGAGAGGGGAAGAGATGAGGTTTCTGACAGCGCCTGGGTGCCCACTACAAATTCACAGCACAACAACGGATGCGAACATTTTATGTTTGTTATTGTTGTTGTTGTTGTTGTTGCTCATTCAGCTGGCTTTTGTGAGCAGCGTTAAGGTTGAGGATGAGGCTTTGACTGCTCAGCGATCATCTCATCGGGGCGCTTTTGTGTCCATGGTGCGTACTCTGTTCTCTGTACTTCATCGACATCAACGCCGTCCTTTGTTTGCCGGCCCTTTTAGGCAAGCCCGTTGGCCCTCCTATGTCCGAATGTCCCTCACCAAAAGAGAGACAGAGAGAGAGAGAGAGAGATGCAAGTAGTTGGTTTTTTGTTGTTTTTTTTGGTCGTTGTCGTTGCTTGTGCGCCAACTTTGTTTAACTTTGCTTTATTGTCCGCTGATGATGCATTTTGTGGGTTTAGTGGCTTTGCCAAAAAGTAAAAAGAAAATTAAATTAAAGACCAAGGGTCCATTATGGCTATTATAATGAAACTGAGGAATGAAGTAAACGATTCTAATTCTGAGAAGTCAAGACAAATAATCAGCACAATTTAAACTTAAATTGTGCTATTTGTGCAAGGAAATTTAAGTTATTTTAGAAATATTTAAGTTACAAATTATTTATACAGCTTGTAAGACTGTGTAAGTAGCCAAAATAATAGAACAAAATAAATCACTGAAGCAGTCAAATGATTTTATTAATTACTGCTTCTGCAACTCAGGATTAAATAGAAAAAAGTTTGCAAAGGTATAAGCATGTTGGAAAAATGGTATAAATAACTTGGAACTCATTACTTGCAAAGCACGTTTTTTTTACGATAGTTAACGTTGACGATTATTACATATAATATGATCAAATACAGTATTATCATATAATATAATTATGTAATTATAAGATTTCTTGAGCTTAGCGCAATTATCATAATTACTAATAATATTTTGTTG